AAAATTTAATAAGAATAAAAAATAATAAAATAAAATAAAATGATGAGTGGAAAGTAAATGACTTTGGTTTACACCAAGATCAAGACTCAAACTCAAACTCCTTTTACATGGTATTTGACATCTATGTAACTGAAGCTTCTTATCTTGATTTTATTCTTTTTAGTTGATTTTTGCTCACTAATTTATACAGATTTGTCTCTCCTTTCAGTTCATAACACATGGCATGTTCCATATTGTTAATTACATTACTCATAAGGTCTGATTGTGTATTCTTTTCAGACTGGCCTTCCTGTCACTTATTCCAGTGCAGTGTTCTTCATCTATCCATTTTCATCTTTAATGTCAAGTTCTATCTTGTAAGGCTTTATGAAAATTATAGAATGTATGTAAGCCCTTCATATATAGTGATCCTTCCAAGCCTATAACTGTCTTGTACTGTACATAACTTCTAGTTTGCAAGGCAAAAATGCCCATGTGTTCCTCCAAGTCAAAGTTTCTGCTACTGGCCCGTGCCACAGGTAATGTGTTTAAGCAATGCTATAATGTTTCAAGCACTAAATAATCTACACATTCATCAATAACTCTCATTGCCATCAAGTCGAAACCTACTCATAGCTGAGCCTCCAGCAGATGTTTTAGAAATTGTAAAACTCATGGGAAGATATCTCTCATCTTCATCCTACAGACTTGTTGGTGGATTTGAATTCCCAGGAAAGCACCACCATTGGGTGTATCAATATCAATCCTTATAAACTACATCTTCAATGCTCCTTCACTCTTGACTGTTAGGGTGCAATTACTTCTTTAAGAAGCAGTCATCAAGGAAAAGTGATAGGCATGGAGTCATTCAGGTATGACCCTGAAATATTAATTTTTAGATTAATTCAGAATCAATATGAGAGATTTGTCTACTTATGAAATATTACAGTTATGGGGATAAACAGTGAATATAATTTCATAATTTCCAGTTAAGTTGTTCAAGCTTTTGAGTATGGTGTGTTTTTTGGGTTTGTGAGTTTTGTGTGTGTGTTGTCTTTTTTTTTTAGCAGATTGGCATTCCCTTTAAAGATGGTGTAATATTATGCTTTTATTCTTTTATTATGCTTTTATTTTCCATCACCAAGAAGGAGTGGCATCCAATTCCTAAACATGACTCTGGAAACTCTGTGAACTTTGAGAACTGATGATAGTCATAGGAAGTCTTCGGGTCTTTTGGTAATAGGGTCACAATGACTTGTGCTCTACTTGACTGCAATAATGCTCTACTTGACAGCAGTCATGTTGGCAAAAAAGACTGAATTTTTAGGGCTTAGAGTAAACAGTCAGTGAGACAACACACAGTGAAGAGGAGAGTGCTGTCAGCAGAGGGACAAAGCCAGGCATCAGACATAATATGAGGCAACTCAAGGGACAAGAGGTGAGGTTTAAATTTTTTAAAATGGTTCTGCAATCCAATGGTGAGAAGATGCATTGTCCTACAACAAGGAGAGGATAAAATAGATGAATGGGACCTTTTAAGGATAAAATCCTTGTGCACATCGAAAAACTTCTCCAACAGGGTAAAAAGGAAAGCCACAGATTGGGAAAAAATATTTGGCAACGACATGTCTGATAAGGGACTTATATCTAGAATTTATAGAATACTCAAGCACCACAACAAGATAAAGGTAAACAACCCAACTGAAAAATAGGCACAGGATATGAACAGACAATTCACCAAAGAAGACATGCAGATGGCCAACAAGCACATGAAGAAATGTTCAAAATCCCTAGCTCTAAGAGAGATGCAAATCAAAACAACTGAGATATCATCTCACCCCAGTAAGAATAACAAAATTGAACAGAGCAGCAAACAAATGCCGGCAAGTTGTGGAGAAACTGGAACCCTTATTCACTGTTGGTGGGGGCATAAAATGGTGCAACCACTATGGTAACTAGTATGGAGCTTTCTCAAAAAGTTGGAAATAGAAATATCATTTGACCCAGCAATTCCATTACTTGGAACATACCCTAAAGAAACCAGAACTGACACCCAAGTACATATATGTAAATCCATGTTTATTGCTGCTTTGTTCACAATAGCAGAGTTGGAAACAATCTAACTTGCAAACAGTTTTTTGCCACTAAGTACCCATCAACAAATGAATAAATAGAGAAGTTGTGGTATATTCACACAATGGAATACTACCCTGCATTGAAAAACAAGGAATTCATGAGATATTATACAAAATGACCCTGGAGGACATTATGCTGAGTGAACTATCTCAGTCACAAAAGGACAAATACTGCATAGTGCCACTGTTGTAAAATGGGACTGATATCGGGTTTGAAGGGAGCCTAAGAAAAGAAGGGATAAATAATGTATATGCATTGAAACAGATGAGGGATAAAACTGTTTAAAAGGAATATATGATTAGGTATTATTTTCATGACAAGATTTCAGAAAAAGAAATACATATAAAGTGGATTGTGGACTTGGGAGGTGGGGGGTAGATTGTATAACAATGAAAGAATAATTTTCTTTTCAAAGAGAAAAGCAAGCATGAAGGGAGGGGTGGGCAGAGAGGAAAATGTGAAACAATGAATGAGAGAAAAAAATAAATGTGAAAAAAAAGAGAAGATGCATTTTTTTGGTAAACATGTTGTTGTATACCTTTGAGTCAGAACCAACCCATAGCTGGCACTCCGGTGGGTTTTCAGAGGCAGTTTGTTGCTCAGGAGGAGATTGCCTATCCTTCTACTGAAGGGATTGCAGCACAGCTTCTTGCCACAAGGCTACTTAAAGCTTAATTATACAGGGGAAAACAAAACTAGACCATATACCAACTCAATGGTCCATATTTATTCAAAATAAGTTGAAGGTTATAACTTTAAAATTGATAAACTTGAAAGTAATGACACTACTCTGTTCTTTAGAGATGAAGAAATTCTTTGAAAAGAAAACAAAAACAAATATATATATATTATAAAGCAGAAGCTCCAGTGGAAGGACAACTTGGATTTTAAAAACACAAAGGCAAGAAAAATTCAAAAGATAAATTTGAACAAATCCCTAAAAAGTAGAATTTTTTAAAAACCCACAAATTAAAAGCTATAAAAAGAAAAGATGAGAGTACCAAAGACTCAGCTCAAATAATTCAACCACCAAATGCAGGCAGTCTCAGAGTGAAAAATAAATGGAAATAATCAAAGAAGAAATCTTTCAGAAGTACTCCAGACATAAACAGTTTTCTAGTGGTCGAGCCCAGTTGATAACAAAGCTCCTCAATAAGGCACACTGTGGTGAAATCAGATCACCAAGGTTCAAGGAAGTAGAACTCTCAAAGGGAAAATATCAATGTAATTGTTGTTAGGTGCCATCAAGTCAAGCACAACTCATAACAACTCTATGAACAAAAGATCTGAACCCTGTTTTATCCTGTGCCATATTCACACTTCCTGACACACAAGAGCTCATTGCAGTAGTCATCATATCAATCCACCTGTTTGAGGGTCTTCATCTCCTTTGCCAACCCTCCACCCTTCCTACCGTCATGACCCCCTCCAAAGAACAGCATCTCCTAGAAATGTGTTTAAAATCCGTGAGGCAAAGTCTCATCATTCTCACAACCAAAGAGCACTCGTCTGGACTCTCTTCAAGACATATCAATAATTACAACAAATCCAGGCCTCTCAACAGTAACAATAGAAATCAGGAGACTCTAGACCTCCTGATTGCAGGAGATTTCCCCCCCCCCCAATCTAGAACTTTTTACATGGACAAAATACCAATTAAGGAATGGTTGAAGCGAAAATATTGTTAAGCAAATAAATTTATAATATTTTACCTCCTCTAAAACCTTTTGGATTTCCATTACCAATTTTTATTAATGCATCTTTATAGCATCTTCAATCCATTTCAGACTGCAAAAGTAGGTAGAAATCCTTAATTTCTTCATTTTTCACTTTAGTTGTTATAGTTGTATGTTGAGTCAGAACTGACCCATAGCTGACCCTACAGTGGTTTTTAGAGGTCATCAGTTGTTTTTGTTAAGTGCTGTCAACTCTTAGATGACTCATAGTGACTCTGTGAATGAAAAACCTGACACTTGTATAACTCTCATAGTCTCTCCGTGTTCATAGAGTTTCTGGAGGCAAACTATTCAAAAGTGGATGCCACTCCTGTTTCCAAGCTTGGTTTAATCTGGGAGCTCCACCAAACACTGTCGACCATGGGTAACCATTATTGCATTTGAAACATCAGTGTCACAGTGTTTAGCATCACAGCAACCATGAGTTACTTCTGTACAGCAAATAGACAGGCAAGTGCTATACCACTTAGAAGAATGTTTGGCCAAAAGCAATTAAAACCAGGCCTGAGGACCACATATTAAAATCACCCATCTTTGGCTTGGTAGCACAACTTTCTATCCACTAGGCCAATAGAGCTCTCTCTATGACTCACAGCGATTCTGTGAACAACAAATCTAACCCTTGCCCTATCCTACACCATCCCCACAATCTGAGACATGCTCGATCCCACTGCTACAGTCACTGTATCAATCCATTATGCTGGGGATCTTCTTTTCTTCTCTGACCCTCCACTTCTCTCAGCATGATGTCATTTCCCAAGGACTGACACCTTAAACTGTTCATCAGTAGTTGACGTATATTTGAATAGTAGTTCTATTAACAGGACTTCTCTATATACATATGGATAATATCCACAACCTCACAGCATTGTATTTCAGAAAAGATCTTCAAAAGATCTTTTTGACAGTGAAGGTGACATCATTCCTCCTCAATTTGTCATTCTGAACGTAGTATATAATACAATCATCTGATTCAAAACAGCCTATGCCAGTCCATCCCAATTCACTAATACCTAAGATGTTGATCTTAATGTGTTCTATTTCATTTTCAACAACTTTCAATTTTCCTGGATTCATACCAGGAATTTCAAATACCAGCAGGGTCACCTATGGGGGAAAGATTTCAGCAGAACTTCTAGACTAAGATACACTAAGAAGCGGGGCTGGTTGTCCACTTATGAAATGATAGGCCTTGAAAACTCTGTGGACAAAGAAGAAAGTTGTTGAGCGTAGAACTAGAAGATGAGTGCTTCAGATTAGAAGGTACCCAATATGAGAAACCTTGCTTGCTGAAACTGAAGAAGACCTGAAGTGCTTGCTGCAGAAGGTCAAGGACTGTAGTCTTCTATATAGGTTGAAGCTTAACATCAAGAAGACAAAGATTCTCATCACTGGGCCAATTGGCAGCACCATGATAGATGTAGAAGAGATCGAGGCTGTTAAGAATTTCAGCTTGCTCGGCTCCACAGTCAACACTCTTAATACCAGCAGTCAGAATATCAGAAGATTAATTGTATTGGAAAAATCTGCTGTCAGGGACCTCTCCAGAGTACTGAGAAGCAACAGGGTCAGTCTAGAGACTAAGGTGCACCTAATCCAGGCCATAGTCTTCACAATTACTTGTTATGCTTCAGAAAGCTGGATGATGACTAAGGATGACAGAAGAAGTGATGCCTTCATATTGTGGTGCTGGAGAAGAGTCTTGAACCTACCATGGATGCCAAGAAAACAAACAGGTCTGTCTTGAAGAGAGTGAAACCAAGTTTCTCCTTGGATAGAAGGATTTTGAAGTTCAATTTCATATACTTTAAGCATGTGGCAGGGAGAGACAGGTTCTTGGAGAAGGGCATCGTGCTTGGAAGCGTGGAGGGACAGCACAGGAGAGGAAGACTCCTGATGAGGTGGATTGATTCAATGACTGGGGCAATGAGGTTTAGTGTGTTGGAATTAGTGAGACCAGCTTGGAACAGGACAGACTTCAGAGCTGCTGTACATAGTGTTGCTATGGGTTGCAGGTGACTTGATGGCACATAACAACAACAACAGGGAAGAACTGCCACATCGAAGTACATTCTAACACAGTGACATGGATGGAGTTAACAGTTCTTCATTTGTTGACGTGACAAGACTCAAAATAAGGAGGAACAGTTGCAAAGATCCATTAATAACTGGAACATGGACTATGATCTCTTCTCCATCTATCATGGTGCTGCCAGTTGGCCCAGTGATGAGAATCTTTGTCTTCTTGATGTTAAGCTTCAACCTATATAGAAGACTACAGTCCTTGACCTTCTGCAGCAAGCACTTTAGGTCTTCTTCAGTTTCAGCAAGCAAGGTTTCTCATATTGGGTACCTTCTAATCTGAAGCACTCATCTTCCAGTTCTATTCTCAACAATTTTCTTCTGTGCCCACAGAGTTTTCAAGGCCTGTCATTTCATAAGTGGACAACTAGCCCTGCTTCTTAGTGTATCTTAGTCTAGAAGCTCTGCTGAAATCTTTCCTCCATGGGTGACCCTGCTGGTATTTGAAATACTGATGGTAAAGTTTCCAGTATGAAAAACTGGAAAGAAAGAAGGTAGAGTGGTGGTTGAAAAACATGGACTTGATGATAGAAATGGGACTGGCAATCAAATGATAGACTTTTGTACAATCAATTACTTATTCATTGCAAAAATATTTTAAAATAGGACATAAATGTGACTAGAGTTGTAGACTTCACTTGATAGCCTACACAGGAATCATATTAGATCAACTATATATAGTGGAAAGAGACTTTGGAGAAGCTCAACAACAGCAGTCAAAACAAGGCCAGGGGCTGACTATTGCAGGACAGACCATCAATTACACATGTGCAAGCTCAAATTGAAGCTGAAGGAAATGAAAACATAATCACAAGAACCAAAGTATGGCCTTGAGTCTATCTCACTAGATTAAAAAGCCATCTCAAGAGTAGATTTGGTGCATTGAACCTTAATGACTGAAGATCAAGTTAGCTCAAGAAAGAAGAAATAACTTCCTTCTTACTGAAGAGAGAAGTTAAAGTGGCACCAAAGTCATTAGCAATCACAATAATAGTAGTAGTAATAATAATAATAGAATACTAACTTAGGTGTTTCAGCAAATAGATGTGGGCCTGGAAATGCTCATCAATCTATGCTAAAGAATTTGGAAGACAACCACCTGAGCAAACTACTGGAAGAGATCTGTATTTGTTCCCACAAAAAGGTAATCTAACAGAGTATTAATGTTATCCAGCAATATCATTAATACCACATGCAGGTAAAATATTGCTGAAGAGAATTTTAGAAATCACTGTTGCTGTTGGTGTGTGCCCTTGAGTCAGAACCAACCCATAGCTGACCTTCTCCATTCTTCACCTATGACCTGTGGTGCTGAAGAAGAGTACTGAACATCCCATGGATGGCCAAGAAAACAAACAGATATATGTTGGAGAGGGTGAAGCTGGAGTGTCCTTTGGAGGCAGAGATAATAAGACTTTACCTCACACACTTTGTGCATGTTGCTAGGAGGAGGTATTCCTTGGAGAAGGACATGTTACTGGGAAGGGCAATCTCCTCTCATTTGATGTATTGCCTCTGATAATACTTTGGAGGGTCAACTTCAGGTCAGTTCCAACTCAACAGTATACAAGAACAACAAAAAACAATTGAGACGGAAGACGTGGACTACCAGAAATAGGAAGCATAACCCAAGACGTGGCCAAACAGAATCCCAAAACTGGCAATCAAGAAGATCCTGGATAAGTGTGGGTACTGGACTTCAGAGTAACCTGCCAGATTGGGAAAGGCTTTGAAAGAAAGCAAGAGAAATTACTTGATAGAATACTTAATGAGTTTTACTATATTAACAAGTGATTAGACAATTGGTTGTGGACTTGGGGCTTAAATAAATTATTATTAT